CTGGCCCCCCCCCCCCCCCCCCCCCCCGGCTGCCAGACCTTCCTTCATTGCTTTTTTCCCTTCACACGCTGCACGGCTGAGTGAGACACAATTGTTTTCTGCAAAGAGGAAAAGGCGGTGTCCTAGTATCATTCTTGCCCAGGGTATATTGCACGCTTTATCTTTTGTCCTTGCTCCTATTAAACCAGTTTTGCAGGTTTCTGAGGCACAGAAAAGCCTGCATGCCCTGTATGACCAGAGAGGGTGGTTGGAAGGGCAAATGATTGTGCATCCCAGAGGCGATTATATATTGCTAGTTCATATCAGAATCTCTCTCCACCTTCCCCCTGTGCGAGTAATTTCATTAATTTAACTAACGTGCCTTTATATCCCTCCGATTTTTCACCTCAGGAGGAACTCTTGGGCTCCTTATGAATTTCAGTCTAGGGAAAATGTTGCTGACAACATCACTGTTGTATCTCTGAGGGTCCAGACAGAAGAGATCACAGATCTTGGTTATACAATGCAGACTGCAGGTTCCTACAGCCTCTATTTGCCTCGGGTCCATAGAGGGAGGGAAGAAAGGATTTAACCCTTCAGCTTCCTCTTGGGTCTCTAGGTTTGAAACCTAGCTCCCTGCTCAGTTATTAGCATTTAAACAGAAAACAGTGTGTTTGAAAGACACGTCTTTTCTCCTTTAAGGTGCTAATATCAAGGCAGGGAGCGCAGTTTCAAAAAGTGAATCCAAGTGGAGGTCGAGGGGTTAAATCATCTCTCCCTTGTGCTGCCCCAAGGTAAACCGAGGCTGCATAAGCCTGCAGGTTGCATTTTAAGGACTGCAAAGATACAAGAAGAATAGGAGGTATTTGGGCTTCGAGCTCCCGGCCCCTGCAAGACATATCCAAAGAGTCTGAGCATCTCCCTCCACAAATAGATACACAAGTTCCCCATGCCTTGAAAACTTGCACAGCACCAGGCAGGAAGAATGGCAAAAAGCTCTGTTTTGAACATGACAGAGAAATGCTGTGAGGGGGAGGCCAAAGTGCCACACCTCCAAACACTGGAAGCTGCTCTGAATCGCAGAGATGCTAGACCAGAGCAAGAGAACTATCAAGATAGGTTGTGGTCAGTTCCAAGCCCTAGAAGTGTGTTTGCGTGGTTCCTAGGTGTCCACAGTCCTCAGTTTCAAGAATGCCTAAACCATGGGATTAACCGTGGCAGGCAGGGCAGAGAATTCGCATTAAACCCTCTCTCCCTGTTCCTTGCACTACCCCGGGGCAAACTGAGGCTGCTTAACCGTGCAGGTTGCATTTTATGAAAGGATTGCAAAAGTAAAGGAGGAACAGGAGATAGCCGGGCTTTGGGCTTCCAGCTCCAGTAAGACCTCAATGGTCACCTCAAGGTTGGATTACTGCAACTTGCTCTACATAGGGCTATCCTTGAGGCTGACCCAGAAACTACAGCCTGTCTAGAATGCATCGACCCGGGTACTTATGGGTGCCCCATAACAGCACACATACCACCTGTGCTTTGCCAGCTGCATTGGCTTCACTTTGAGTACTGGATCCGCTTCAAGGTTTTGGTTTTGACCTTCAAGGCCTTTAATGGTCTGGGACCAGCATACCTGGGGGACCGCCTCTCCCAGTATGTCCCCCGAAGAGCCTTGCATCCGGAAGACCAAAACTTACTGAGGGTCCCTGGCCCAAAAGATGTCCGGCTGTCCTCAACTAGAGCCAGGGCCTTTTTAGCCTTGGCTCTGGCCTGGTGGAACTCTCTCCCTGGTGACATCCACGCCTTGTGGGACCTAGCTCAATTCCACAGAGCATGTAAAACAGGGATGTTCCACCAGGCTTACGGCTGAGGACAACAACGGCCCACATTGTGTCTCTCAGCATGGCCTCCTCCATGACGGGTTCCTGATCATCCGTCTAGGGGAGGGTAAAGGAAAAGGTAAAGGTTCCCTTGCTCGAAAGCCAGTCGAATCCATGGTTGCGGTGCTCATCTCCGTTTCAAAGCCGAAGAGCCAGCGCTGTCCGAAGACGTTTCCGTGGTCATGTGGCCGGCATGACTAAACACCAAGGCGCACGGAACGCTGTTACCTTCCCACCAAAGTGGTACCTATTTATCTACTTGCAATTTCTTGCTTTCGAACTGCTAGGTTGGCAGGAGCTGGAATTAGAGACGGGAGCTCACTCCGTCTTGCGGCACCCGGGTCTCGAACTGCTGAACTACTGACCTTTCACAGTCTGCAGTGCAGCGTCTTAACCACTTGAGCCACTGCAGCTCCCTAGGGGAGGGAGAGAACCTCATTTTTAAGCAATTGACTAATGCTGTTGATTTGATTATATTCTGTAATTCATTTATCATTGCATATTTTAACCTGTGGTGCATTGCCCTGAGCCCTTCGGGGAAGGGTGGTCGATACATTTAATAGATAATAATAGTAATAATAATGGCAAGAATGATTAATTAATAATAATTGCAAGAACAGTGGAATAAATTGCTGGGGGGAGTACAAATCGTCTGTAAAGCGAATCTCTTTTTGCCTGGCCCCTCTTTCTCTGCCACTTGTGCTTCCGGGATAGACTGAGCTCCTTTGGGCTTGCCCGTCGTTGCTCATGGGCTCCTCAGCTCAATTGTTTGTCTCCCAGTTTCTGAAAGTTCCCTGTAGCTGTATGATTCTCCTCTTTGTCCAACCCAGCTCTTTCCTGCTTATCTTGTAGGTGTCTCTGAGCATACCTGGATTTCCGAGCTTTGAATATGGCTACTCCCTGTGGATGGCGGTAGCAGGGACCCTAGCGGCCCTGGCTGCCGCTTTCACTGCATACTATGAAGTTCGGCTCATTAAGACCCTCAGCACAAAGCCAGCCAAGGAGCATGCCGGGAACAGCAACGGAACAGTGCGCACATATGTGTAAACTTGGCTGCATCCTTGAAGCAGCAGGATTAATGCCGCACGATCAGGTGGCTGTTTATAAGTTGCACACAAGGAATCTAATAGGTTTCAGGCTAAATTTATTCAGACTCTATAGTGAAATGGGCTCAACAGATTTTTAAAGAATTATTTTAGGATTGTCAGCTGGGGAGGGGACATGGCTCAGTGGCAGAGCATCTGCTTGATATGCAGACGGTCCCAGGTTCAAACCCCGGCATTTCCATTTAAAGGATCAGGTAGTAGGTGATGTGAAAGACTTCCACCTGAGACCCTAGTGAACCACTGCCAGTCTGAGTAGACAAAACTGTCTTTGATGGACTGATGGTCTGAGTCAGTATAAGGCAGCTTTAAGAGAGGCTGACCTGGGGGAAAGTGTCCTGTCCCTTTAAGAGAGGCTTAATGTAAATAGGCAGCAGAAACTTTTAATGGCTGGAGGTTATCAAAAAGTCCTTACAAGCTACGAAAGAGACCGATAAAGAGAGAAATAGAGGCTGAAGGACTCTGAATGGTGCCTCGGGAAAAAAGATGAAAATAGGAGATTTGGGGATGTTGTCTTTAGACAGTGAATTGTAAAAGTTGGGGGGGGAGAAAATGTATTAATGATTGACTCAGTTTGTTTTATGTTTAAACGAAGGAAAGTTTTATTGGGAGTAAGCTAATGAAGATCTCCTCTCTTGGGTTTTTAGGTAGTGTGGGCATCTTTTCTTTATCCTGTATATGTAGTACCCCTTCCTGTTTTTTCTGTAGTAGTGTTTTGTAGTTTGAAAAAATCCCCTCCGGGGGCTTAAAAAAACACATCCCATTAAATCTCTATTAAAAGGACAGGCATTTTTTTGCCAGGCCAATTGACAACCCTAGCCAGTAAGAACATAAGAGAAGCCAATGTTGGATCAGGCCAATGGCCCATCTAGTCCAACACTCTGTCACACAGTGGCCAAAAAATACCAGGTGCCATCAGGAGGTCCATCAGTGGGGCCAGGACACTAGAAGCCTCCCACTGTTGCCCCCCCCCCCCAAGCACCAAGAATACAGTGCATCACCTGCCCCAGTCTGTGAGTTTCTAGCTTTACCTTGTGGCTAATAGCCACTGATGGACCTCTGCTCCATATGTTTATCCAGTTCCCTCTTAAAGCTGTCCATGCTTGTAGCTGCCACCACCTCCTGTGGCAGTGAATTCTATGTGTTAATCACTCTTTGGGTGAAGAAGTACTTCCTTTTATCCGTTCTAACCCGACCGCTCAGCAATTTCATGGAGTGCCCACGAGTTCTTGTATTGTGAGAAAGGGAGAAAAGTACCTCTTTCTCTACCTGCTCTTTCCCATGCATAATCTTATAAACCTCAATCATGTCACCCCTCAGTCGTCGTTTCTCCAAGCTAAAGAGCCCTAAGCGCCTTAACCGTTCCTCATAGGGAAAGTGTTCCAACCCCTTTATCATTCGAGTTGCCCTTTTCTGCACTTTTCCCAAAGCTATAATATCCTTTTTAAGGTGTGGTGACCAGAACTGCACACAGTATTCCAAATGAGGTCGCACCATTGATATAATCCTATTGGTTGCATTTATCGAGACCGTGCAATCCTACTAGAGTCTCTGTGAGAGGGGCAGGCTCTAAAGTGAATAAATTGACCTGCAAACCACTTTCCCAGCTCCTATGATCCCTGTAGAAGTCTGAGATCCATTTTTCATGCTTACCAAGAGAAAAGAAACGTGACCTATCACAATTTTGGACTCCTGAGAAGCCATGTTGCTGCTCACATTCACCTTCTTGCCTATAGAACAGCCCTCCCCGCCCCCAATGTGGCATCCATGGCTACAGTGGTGCCTGCTGACACCTATCCTGGGACCCACCCAGTGTGTTTAGAAAGTGGGCGGGGTCAGATAGGGCTTTTGCCCAGCGAGGCTTCTGATTGGCCACTGGAGATTTTATCGGCCGTGTGGATTTTTTTTAAACGTTGCTTTGGCGGCAGCCGTCACCACCGCACAAGGATCTTCGGTGTGTGGCTGAAGGGAACCTGCGTCAGCCATTTTGTGGCTGGCTCCGCCTCCTGTGGCAGCCATTTTGGGGCTGCTCCCACCGCACTGTGCCAGAAATTGGCTCAAAAAAGGTCGGGACCCGTTCTGAACCCATGGGCTTAAAAGGGCATGGCTGTTTGGGATCGCGCTGTCAAACTCACAAAACTGCAAGAGACCCCGGAGGTTTCTTTGTTTCCTGCTCAGAAGAATCGCAGCTTCTTGAAGACACTACTTTTAATGCTCAGAGTCAGGGTCATTAAAACACCAGTCCACATTGACACTGCAAAGTCACCTACCCCCTCTTTTAGGGGATGGGCAGTGGCTCAGGGGTAGAGGGTCTGCTTGGCATGCAGAAGGTCCCAGATTTGTTGGGTATTACAAGTTGAAAACACTCAGTATATCTGGGGTTAAATGTTTGTTTATGTTACTCACAGGAAGTCACATGTTTCTCATGTAACCAATGTTCTTCAGATATAGAAAGCCCGGGAATTTTCTCCCTGATCTAAGAATTTGATTGGGACTAAAGTGTCAAGGTGTATTAGCATTTTATGGCTTCTCTTCCCGCCTTTGTTTGGTGTTCTGAAGAAGAAGTAAGAGTAGCCATAATCGCTCTCTTCTAGTTTTGTGTTTGTAGAGTAAGGATGTAGCCAATTATGCTCTGTTGTTATTTTCATCCCAGTTACCCTTCCCATGCTAGAATTTAGTAAAAACTTTATCTTTTAATCACACATGGACTCTGAGTCTGAATTATTTTACTTTGGCTCTGCTGGACTATCTTATCTCTGCTAAATACCCTTTTTTCAATATCTCACTATCGCCCAACAAGATTCAATCCCCAGAAGGCTTTCCCCCAATATTCAGTTTAAAAACTGCTCTGCTACCTTTTTGATTTTAAGTGTCAGCAGCCTGGTTCCTTCTCGGGACAAGTGGAGACCGTCACTTCTGTACAGCTCCCTCTTGTTCCAAAAAGTATCCCAGTGCCTAACAAACTTGAACCCTTCCCCCCTACACCATCGTCTCATCCACACATTGGGACTCCTGATCTGTGCCTGTCTCTCTGGCCCTGCACGTAGAACAGGTAACACTTCCAAGAAGGCTACCTTGGAGGTCCTGGCCTTGGGTTTCCTGCCTAGCAGCCTAAATTTCTCCTCCAGGACCTCATGACTGCATTTCCCCACATCGTTGGTGCCAACATGGACTACGACCACTGGCTCCTCCCCAGCACTATCTACCAGCCTATCTAGAACACGCGTAATGTCCGCTACCTTCGCACCAGGCAGGCAAGTCACCATACGGTCAGTATGCGGTTTCGCCACCCAGCTGTCTACCTGCCTAAGGATCGAATCACCAGCTACCAAGAGCCCCCCTCCCTCCCTGCCCAGGGATGGTTCCTTGGTGCAAAAGGATACCCGCTCACCAGCTGAAGAAGAGGTCCCTTCTGAGGGCATATTCCCCTTATCTTCAGCACGGTGCCCTGTTCCTTCTCGACCCTCCTGCTCCCTGGCAGTGGCGGGGCTGCCATAACTGGAGTGGGACATATCTAGCAAGTCCCCGAGAGCCTTCTCCATGTGCCTAGTGTTTGCTTTACTAGGGTTGAGGGAAACTATCGGGCCTTGAGATGACACACCTCCTGAAAAGACTTCCTGTGCAATCCTAAACAGTGTTATGGGTAAAGGTTCCCTTGCTCGAAAGCCAGTCGAACCCGACTCTAGGGTTGCGGTGCTCATCTCCGTTTCAAAGCCGAAGAGCCAGCGCTGTCTGAAGATGTTTCCGTGGTCATGTGGCCGGCATGACTAAACACCAAGGCTCACAGAACACTGTTACCTTCCCACCGAAGTGGTACCTATTTATCTACTTGCAATTTCTTGCTTTCGAACTGCTAGGTTGGCAGGAGCTGGAACTAGAGATGGGAGCTCACTCCATCATGCGGCACCCAGGTCTCGAACTGCTGAACTACTGACCTTCCACAGTCTGCAGTTCAGTGTCTTAACCACTTGAGCCACCGCAGCTCCTAAACAGTGTTACCTCCTTCTAAATCAATTGAAGTCAATGGGCTTAACTCCGTTAGGATTGCACTGCTGTAAGGGCGTCTTAAGAACAGTTTCCTCAGACTAAGCCTTGTTCAACAGACTCAAGTAGGATTCTGAATAGACCTGTTGAGAATGGCCCTGTTAATCTGCCACCCCACTCCTGTTCTCTCCCTTCCCCAATAATAGCAATATTTGCATTCTTGTGGCTCTGCTGGGGGTGGGGGGAGGTACCCATATTGTGCCTGTCTTTTTTGCACAAGAGCAGCCCCAGGGGAAGGGGACATTTCTGATCAGGGGAACGGCATGGGGAAAGTTAACCCGCTCTTCTCCAGATTCATAACACCCCTCCCCTGGCTACTTTTTAGGGTTAAAGAAAATGGCAGAAACACAGCCACAGAACTTCCAACCAGTGTTCCCTCTAAGCTGAGTTAGTGTGAACTAGCTCAGTTTTTTAGCCTCCAGCTCACACATTTTTGTCTTAACTCAGGAAGGATGGCTCCAGAGCAAACTAATTTATGCAGTAGCCAAATCGCTCGCTCACAACTTTAATGCCAGGAGCTCACAAAGTAGAATTTTTGCTCACAAGACTCCACAGCTTAGTGGGAGCATTGCTTCCAACATCCATCTGACCCTCTGCCTGGGTAAAATGGCCATCAATATATTCCATCCACTCCTGTGGGGGATCCAGTTCTGTGGTAAGGTTTTGGTACCTAAAAGTGCCATCTTAAATAGTCACACTCTTCTAAGCCCATTGACTTCAACAAGCTGATGTTGAGGAGCTGTGGCTCAGTGGCAGAGCCTCTGCTTGGCATGCAGAAGGTTCCAGGTTCAATCCCCCGCTTTTCCAGGTAAGAAGGACCAGGCAGTAGGTGATGCCGAAGACCTGTGCTTGAGACCCTGGAGAGCCTCTCCCAGTCTGAGTAGACCAATACCGACTGTAATGGACCAAGTATAAGGCAGCTTCAGGTGTGTGTTCAAGTGTGAATGAACAGACTTAGAAGGGCATAACTCTGCTTAGGACTGCGCTGTTAAATTTGGAAAGGGTCCCCGCTTTCCCACGGGACTTCAGCACTGTGAGAGATCACAGAAGATGTGGCCCATTACAGCATCCCAAACCCAGAGCAGGTGTCCTGGTGTGAGTTTTCTTGCAAAACAGAAATACTGCCAAAGACTGTCAAAA